CATCAGCCTAAGGGGAACTTTGTGTGTGTGTCTGTGTAAGCGTGTGTGCCAGGTGGACCTCCTCTTCTTCTTCCTTCTGGTGTCAAATGGGAGGGGCCTTCTTGCATTGCAGGCTAAAGCTAGCCCTCTCTTATTTCCCTGGCAAATGTTGTCACCACAACCAGTCACATTTCTCTCCTCCTCCTCCTCCTCCACCTCCTCCACCTCTCTCTCTCTTCCACTCCTTACTTCATCCCTCTCTCCCTGTCTGCCTGACACAAGTCCCACATATCCCTGGAGGATAAGATGCCATGGAGGCCACAGGAGGGACAGCGCTGTATATCTGCTCTGTTCTCTTCTTCTTTTTCACAGGTGAGTGCTCAAGTTGTTGCTGTAGAGGGATGTTCTGCTTGGGTTGTCTGTGTTGTGTCGGTGCAACTATAGGCTGTGGTTGCTGTGTTTGCAGGGTGAATTGATGGACTGTGTAGTCGAGAAATGTTCTTGGAAATTATGAAATACTTTGGAAAAGGAGTAAAGTAACCAAGGCGAATAAAGGAGAAAAAACGCATACTATTGGTACAAGAAGGAAATTCAAATTCTATTGCTGCACATTTTTATGTTTTCAGACGGGAAACTTGGCACTCTTATTTAAAAAATAAATGTAGGCAACCGACAGTGACAGAAATTGGTCTCAACAGCCTTTTTGCGTTGGAGTTGGATCCTTCCAAGTAATACTTTTAGAGTCTTTTTGGTATGTTTCTCATGTATTTCCATTGTCATCCCAGTGTGACTTTACACGATTAGCTCTTCTTCTCTGGTTAGTATAGCCATAGGAAGCGGGTCAGTGGAAAGCAGAAGTGACCCCAGCCACAGCTCAGTGACTCATTAATCACAAACATGTATCTCACATGACAGGCTGTGTCTGACAGAAATAGTCCCTTAAACATGGAGGACTGCCCACCTGTTCTGATGTTTGTATCATCAGCCTTTCTTTAAGGAGCTCTATTTGTCTTATCTTAAAGAGGACAGATGATGGTTGCGCTTGGACACGCACTGAGACACTCTGTTTAGATGCCAAACATCTCAGATGTGTGTGTGTGTGTGTGTGTGTGTGTGTGTGTGTGAGAGGGTGATAAGAAGCAGGTGCTTGTTGTTCTGGTTGAATGTGTGTCTATGTTTGTGTGTGGCCAATTAATGAAGATATCCTCTCACCTCACACTCCATTGTCCTCCGTATCACCACAACAATATGTGCGTTGTTTGGGGGACAACAGTGAAGGAGCGGGCTCGGCACACTCCTCCTCACTCTTGCCTTTTCACTGAGTCTCAGCTGGTGTAAACACAGGCACACTCCTGCTACTGACCACACACATACACACTCACACACACAGGCAGAGCACTCACGCACACACAGAAAATAGCCTGCAGGCTTGTAAGAGTGAAGCGTGTCATGCCCTGCATGTATTATTTAGGACATAACACCAGCAAACTGTGAATCTCTATTGTGAAGAACAACATGGGCAGCAGTCAGCAGGGACCTGGATGTCACCCGCTGGGGCGTGTGGACTGAGAGGGTGGGGGATAGAGGATTGGGTGACAGAAAAAAGGATATTAGAGATGAAGGAGTGAGGGGAAACATGGCTTTAAAAGGAGAGGTCAAACCAAATTTTCTTAGTTTTCTCCTATTTTTAAATCAAAATCAAATCTTTTTTTTCCCTTTCTCAATATTTAAATAAAATGAACCTACCTGAAATGTAACTGAATCAAGAGTTTTTCCCTCATATATTTACTTTCCCTTCATTAAAATATTTAGAGATAACTAGATACACTGACAGAAGTGAAACAAAAGGACACAAGTAAGAGAAAAGTGTGAGGCTTTAGTAAGTTTGCTTCACAGTAGCACTGCCTACTCACATGCTGCTGCTTTACTCAACCTGGCAACCAAGCTCATTTGCTCACTTTTAAACTTCAAACTGTCAGAAATACTCGTCAAAATATCCTATCAAACTCTGAAAATGTAAATTAGGTGTGATTGGATTTTTTTCATCTACACTGCATACTGAACATTGAGTCGTGAATTAGAAACGCCAAATTAAGATGACAAGAAAAGAACTGCATGGGGAAAAAAAAACAACCTTCGCTCCTCCGTGTCCTTGTGTTTTTATTACAGGTTGATTTAGCTGGTTACTAGAGAACAACACGTCTTAGCAATAAGCCAGCACTTTCAAACAGACACCAAGGTGTAATAGATCAACCGTTATCGGTTGATTTCAGACGGGCCGAGTGTTTGTTTTGGGACAAGTTGGGATCAAAGAGAAAAGCCTCGTCCTTGTCTGACAACAACAATGACACTATGTGGTGAGCTAGGTCAATATTAACTCATGAGAGTTTCAGGACCTGCTCAGTGTGGAGACTAGGATGTAGATTATGAGGTGACAGAAAAAAAAGCAGAAGTTGGATGGCCTTTTTTAAAAATGTTTTTATAGTTCCACATTTACTCTGTCTAATCAATAACAGATACATAACAATGTTTTATTCATGATGTACTGTAAATTGTGATGTACCAAATATAAACTAAATGATTGGTTTGTTAATACGGTTTAATTACATATAAGTCATCTATTCCATTGGATTCAAAAATGTAGTAATGCATAATAATAATTATAATATGCTGACAAAACAGTTTACAGATAGCTAATATTCTTTTGTTATGCTTTCATTTGGTTATACAGGTCAAATTGACACTTTAGTATCAAAGTGAGACTGTTTCATAATCAGTAAAAAACTCATAATTTAAGATGTAAATGATAGGTTATGTATGCTGTGTAGTATACAGTGCATGTTTCTCTAATATTTATACACAAATTTGAAGTTTATATTAAGACAAAAAATTGTATGTATTGTTTTAAAAGAGCCTCTAAAGCAACAATAAACAGTGATTACGGATTTCTATAGATAGTTCAAGAATTCTTTAAGATCATTGTTTTGGTTTCACTTGCAAAAATAGTTGACTTGCACCACAATCATAAGTGACAGGCATGCTGTTATATAAAACTAAAGCCTGCTAAGCACCAAATGGCAGACAAAGTTAGTTTGCCAAAACTCCTGAACATAGTTGAGAATTCAGTAGTTAAAAAAGCAGATATTTTCTTTAAGAAGTTACAGGTAGCAGAGAGCAGAGCTGAGTTAAAATAAGGATTAAATGTATCTCAGACATGTTGCTAAAAAGAAAATCCAAACTAATATTAATACATCAGTTTGTCTTTTGGACGTGTTAATAGGGACCTTTTTGCTAACAAATGAGCCACATATTTGTTACAAGGAAATTATATGATAATGTTGCATTTATTATAGTCTTCTTTGGCCATCCACAAGAGTCCATGTATTACATGGATAGAAATCTCAAAAAGGTTTTCATTACAATTCATCTTGCAACTTCAAGAGGACAGGCAACGATGGCGTTGTATCTTCTTACCAAATTTCAATAAATAGCTCTTATACTGCTGAAATCGCATGTGGGTCACCTTTACAGGCTGCTATAAGGATTTTGTATGGCTTTAAGAAAAATGCTGGACAAGGTCAATTGACCTAATAGGGTTTCTGCATTGATTCTCATTTTCTCTTTTTTCCTTCTTCCCCTGCAAACTTTGCCAACACAGAAGCGAGCTCTGAGTTCATCCACATCCCTACATTAGTCCATCATGGTATTGAAGGGAAGTCCCTGCTCCTGTCTGTTGAGACTCACTTCTCATTGGATGAAGTAGAAATCCAGGGAACTTGGTCCCACACCAGGCCAAGTGGCACCAGAGCCACATTGGTGACATTCACCAAAGAGTCCACAATCACTGACATGATGTACCGAAACCACCTCATCTTTAGAGAACCAAATGTTTCTTTGCATATCCGGAAATTAAACCCGGAAGATGAGGGAGATTACACACTGGACCTCAACATCGAGTTCCACAACAAGACCGGATTGGTTATCAAGGAGAAGAGAACTGTGCATGTAACGGTTGACGGTAAGTGCCTTAGTGTTTCGATGACCACGTTGATCGTATCTGTTGACTCACCTGATACTGACCTTCATTTCCTGTTTTTTTTCTAGTCCCTGTGGCATCTCCAGTCATTGAGAAGAAACCAATGAATGCAGTAGTTGAGGACAAGGCAAACGTAACCTTGTCTTGTTCTGTTGAAAGAGGATCAAGAGTTGTGTTTGAGTGGCTCAGGGACAACGTCCCACTTGGTTACACTGACAGATACCACTTCTCTGAAGACAACTCCACACTTTTCATCAGTCCTGTGAGAAAAGAAGACAAGGGATTTACCGCTGTGTGGCCAGAAACCCTGTCAGCCCGGGTCGCCACAGCAGGGCTGTTGAAGTCAATGTCTATTGTGAGTAGTTACTGTTAATTAATTTGTATTACTCATCTCATTCCCTGCACCAGTACCTCCCAGAATTGCTAGTCTAGTTCTAAATTACTTACCAAAGATTTGCATTGAGGTTATTTTATGGTGAGAACTTCAGATGTGTGTTTTGTATTGGGTGGATTGGTGTTGACAGTCACTTTTTAAGCTTAGAAAGTTTGGCACATTGACTGTATACAGGAAGTTGACTTGGGCTCTTGGTTTCTCAGAACCCATCTGGTGATGATATAGCCTATGAGAATGACCGTTTTTGGGGATTCCTGCTGTATTAAACGTTATTGAAAAGCAGATCAATACTTTGTTTTCTGTGCGATGGCCACACATTTATAGTCTAACTTGCTAGCTTGAAGTCTATAAAACAGCTTCAAACAAAGTAAAATCATCGTTGAAGAAGGGAATACTCATGGGGCATTGATATCTGGGATTGAAAAGTTGCTCCTACTGTCAAATATTAACCAGGAGAGAAAACTAGCGAACCCATATCCACCATATCCCTAAAGTTGATCACTTTTTGTTCCAAACAAATTGAGATAACGATGTCTTTATAACAATGTATGGTCAGACATGACAAATTACTGGTCAGTTCTGAGGAGAAAGTGACTACAGTTAACTTGTACTTGGAAAATAAAAAAACTCCAAGCAAAAATAGGCTAGGACAAAGTCAGGCCAAAAAACGTCATCTCATTTTTAATACCTTTAAAATTCCTGCTGAATTTTGTCACTCACTGGGACCAGATCAGTTAATGTCTGGTTGTAGGATGTATTTGTCACAAATCTCCTGCAACATGTGTAAAAAATCATCTGATTGGTTTTCTCTTACATTCTCTCTGTCTGCACTCTCCTTCTCCCAGAGTGGAGGTATGAAGTTATATGTAAATATCTGTGCGATCATACTTCTTCCAACAACTGAAAACACGTGGCTGATCTGGGACATTATTTGCATGGGAGCAGATGTACCTCAAAGAGCTCTTCTGTTCTACCATAAAGTGTGTAGATGCACTGATAAACTTGTCTGGTTTTGTTAGCAGGGACTTAATCTTTCCAATAATTCATTTGAATATGGTTTTATTTTTACATAACTGGCACTTTTGTTTTGTAGGGACATTATGGAGCTTTAGCACTTTTGTATGACATGTACAGTTAGGTATATCCAACTTCCAAACTGCAGCTCTGTTAAATTATGTGTGTTGTGCAAAGAACTTTGTAGCACTCATTCTGTGGAAAGAAAGGAGCCATCTATGTCAGTAAATTTGGTTAATTGTTTTACAATGTGAAGTTCTATTTCAGACAGTCTTTATAAGTCTACGAGTAATTTATGATTTTTATTTCTCTCTGTGCCCTATTTGATATTTGTAGCCTGAAAAAACTTTACTTACACATTAAAAATGACTATACAATATTTTATATAGCCTATATTTAAAAAAAACATTTGTTTGTTTCTTCAAAGCCCCCCCAACTCTTAATTTGAAAGGAAAAGACTGCTCATTTATTTCCCCACTAGGATGTTTCTGGCTAGACTGTGGATTGAACCTATGACCCTGTCGACAAAATCTTTATCCATAGCTGCCCATGATGCATGAAAATTAGGCAATTCTTAAAAAAAAGCCATTGTGTATCATATCAGCAGTGAGCTGTCATGTTTCCCTGACCCACTGTCGGCCCCCGCAGATGGCCCCTACAACCTGGAGGTGAACTCAGGCCAGGGCCTGCGGACAGGGGAAGTGTTCACTATCAACCCCGGTGAGCTGGTCTTCTTTGAATGCCAGGCCGATTCCAACCCACCAAACAGCTACGTCTGGATCTCCAAGAGCCGCAACGCCACTAAAGTCATCACAGAGGGCCCGCGGCTCGAGGTGCTCTCCTACAGACTGGCCCAGACTGAGAAGTACCTGTGCCGAGCCTTCAACAACGTGACGCAGAAGCAGGACGAGGCCCAGTTTACTCTGGTGGTGGCCAGCTTAGGACCAGGTGGGTACGGAGGTGGAACATGGCAGGAGGGAGCTGAGCGTGGGTAGATTTTGGGAATCCTTCGAGATAAACACTCTGTAAACAGTGTGTCATGCCAAAAGCAAAGGATGTTTAGGAGCTATGAGAGATATATCATTATCTTGACAATGACTGACAAACAGGAAGGCCAGCTTTGGGAACAATTGGGTACATAAAATACTGTAATTGAAGCAGTGTGTACACAACAGCTGAAAATTGAAACCAAGTTATGGCTATAACATAAAATGGCTTATAATAGCCTCATTTTTTTTAATCTCTGTTGCTAGGTGACTCTGCTTGCTGCCTGTATTAAAGTTCAGTGGCTGGGAAAGCAAACAGTGGACAACAGCTGTTGTGTTTGCTGACTAAGTTTTATAGCATTGCAGTTTCTGTGTGGTCAATGCGACATTGATAAGTTGTCTTGGTTATACTGAGAGATGATGATAGCTACTGCTGATACTGGCTATGATTTAAATGCTGTTTATTGACTCAAAAGAAGTCATTACAGGCTCAGTCTTTAGTGATGTGTAGTAAAACAGACAGTGTTTCCATTAAAAATCAGTAAGCTATGGAGAAAGGATCACAGATATTGATAATAGGGCTGAATGTGAGAACATTCAAACACCAAGTGATTATCTGCTAATGGTTAGCATGTTAATTTTGTGTACCATGGCAAGGTGACATAAAATATTCAACAGGGTTTTATTGTAAGAAAGTCAATTCATACCTGTTGCCGGTTGAGTCATCCTATTTCAAACATTTTCCAGGACATGGAAAACTCTCAAATGTAATGTTTTTGCCTACAGGAAAGGAGAAGCAAAGCCAGGGTGGCAGCTCTGTCTCCCCTTTGGCAGCCATTACTGTTTGCTCTTTGTTCGTCATTGGCTGTATGCTGCTGTTCTTCCTCAGGAGAACCTGCCATCCTAAAAGAGGTAAGATCATGTTTGAAACCTGCTGCTTTGACAATGGTGGTTTGCTAACACGTCAACTCCTCAGACTTGAGACCTTACAGACTGTACTACAACCAGTTTAATATGTTTTATGTTTAAAAGTCACACAAATAAGACAACACTTAACGACTCTGACAATGAGATCTTACATGCACAAGATTGTTATTAACACAGACAACTTGGAAATGTCAGTGAAACTGGAGGTTAACAAGACAGAGTAAAGACTACATTTGACTGAGTCAAGGAAATATTCAAATATGTGTAATTAAATTTCTGATTATTTACTTACTACTCTTTCTCTCCATGATCAACAGTGCTTATGAGTATTTATAACAGGTAAGAGTCTTGCAATTTCATAGAATATATCAATTCACATCATTATTGTTGTTTACTCAGAAAAATCCTTCTCTTACTTACACATTTTCCTGACTTTTTTTTTTCAGGCCGCTTTCGGAGCAGAAAAGACCACATCGTTCAGGTAAGCTAATGCTTGTTTCTATGTTTATAGCTGCTACTGAAGTTTAACGTTGCATTTATTGAAGACAGCCATTATCGAGTTTCAACATCCGATTGTGTTTTAAGATGTTCATAGAGTTGAACATGGATTTGGCTTTCCAATGTCTTCCATGCACTAAAAGTCAGCGTAAACAACCAAACCAACAAAAAAAAAAAAAAAAACAGGTTTGAGAAAGGATGAGCCAGAGAGTAAACAGAGTTAAGATGTTTTGATGATTCCAACTGAAAAAGCGGCCATGTTTTGATGGCCCCATTACGTTTCTGTTTTTACGATTTTGTGCCAGAATAAATACTAGAGAACCTACTGTGTATTTATGACATTAAAAACGGGGGGGCTAGTTTAGCTCAGTATAGGCTATCCTACCATAAACAGAGGCACAAGTTGCACTGGTCACAGGTTTGAATCCATATTTGGTGCGTGTCATCCCCCGGTCCCTCTCCCCACATTTCCTGTCTTTCTTTAGCGATCCTTTTGAATGGAACAGAGATAAGGTCCCAAAAAAACGATCTTGAAAATAAAAAATGTGTGCATCTACAGGTCACGAGGATGCTACAGAAGACTTTGGCATCTATGAGTTTGTGTCCATACCTGGAAAAATGGAATCTGCACAGGTAATTAATACATAGTACAAATAAATGAATTTAGTAAGGAAGCAACAAGAGCTGCAACTTTTGTCTTTGTGTGTCTTTTAATTATCCTATTTAACTGTCCCACAGGCATCATGTAGATCTCTGGCTCGCCTCGAGTCAGTTCAGGATATGCACACCACCATCTACGATGTGATCAGAAATGTTCCTGAAACCCCGAGTCACAGTTTGCTGAAGTAACTTTGAGCTGAGGAACTAAGATGTAACTTACGGCCATTTCACTTAAAGACTCTTGTGTAGCCTTATTCTCTAAATCTCTGATCTCAAAGCCTGAAACTGGTTGTGATGGCCCATTTCTTTGCACAGGGGATGAAGGAGACTAATGACCTGATCGTGCACTGTTATTGTCCACAGTTTAGGACAGATTTATGGTATATTTTGTTGACATTATTGTGATATGAAAGTGTATGTATGGCTTGACTCTAGTCTTTTTCATGTGAATGTATAACTGAGATTATAATGTTTTTTTTTTTATTTTGTTAAAAAATGAAGATAATATAACCAAGAAAATAAAAGTCCTTATTTTACATAGTTTTGGAAATCTTAAAACACTACCTACTAGGTGCTTAAACTCCCCTTAGCTTGAACACTATTTAATATATTTAATAACTAAGATTTTATTAATATCATAATATTGTTCTAATATAACATTCCCACCAAGGAGAGCCTGTTTTGTGAAGTGTTGTTATTATTTGTATTTTCTTATATGAAATATATATAAGTGTAAATATTGTACATTGATTATACTGCAGATTCTCTATACTTATTATTCTATTCTGTTTTTTTCCTATCTATTTATTCTTAATGAACAGTCAACCCTTTTTTCTTACAAATGTAGCATTTCCTCTGCTCTACATGGATATACTGAAATGCTGAAACAAGAAAGTAATGAATGATGTACAGTTTGCATCCACATGTATGTTTTGTACTTTATTAAATATAAGTCTTTCAAATGTTGGGCCATTATTTTAAAGTATGAATATACAGCCTACAACCAGATGAAGACCTTCTCTTTTTATGGCCTTTTCTGCTTTTATTCCAGTACTTTTTAATGTATTTTTCATAAACTGGCAGCATGGAGTGAACAAACTCACAGATCCTAGAAAATACAAATAGCTGAAGCCAGCAAAGATGTCCGTTCTGCTGCTTCACAGTCAGTCTTTGTCTGATGTCTTGGCTGTGATTTCTCTTCCCACAAGTGTTTTGTTCGATGTCTTGAAATTGCGGCAGAGTGCTCGTCTCGCTCTCTCCCTCTCCCTCTCTCTCTCACTTCGCTGGATTGGTATGCTGTGTACCTGGCGGGATTTGGAGACAGGCAGCAACAGACGGATGGTTCAGCATGTGGCAGAGTGCCCTCCACCTGCTCCTGCTGACACCTTGTCACGAGAAGATAAAAGTGTTTGCTGGTTTGCCTCTTTGTGTGTTTATGTGAAAGAGAGATCAGGTAGAGGAATAAGGAGAAAGTAGATGCACTGACGCTTGAAGAGAAACTGATAGATATTTTGTTAACAAAATAAAACATTTATCTACAAATACTAATTAAGACAGCAACAGCCTGCTTTCTGCTATCAAGAGCTTTTTACCAAAACATTAGTTATACTCATTGTGACACTTTTTCATTTAAATTTATGTTCATACTGTGCTGTCATGTCCAAATACAGTCATATTTAAACTTTTACAACTGACAAATTTGAATGATATAACTCTTTCCTAAAGAAAAATGGTGAGTAAAGAACGGTTAACAACCTTAAAATAAATTAGACTATTGTGAAACTAGGTTCTGACTTTGTCATTAAGGACTGCTTTTAATGGTGTCCCCTTGCATAACAACAAGCAGTTAATAAATCTTGCCCTTATTATATTGCATGAAGGTACCGACTGAGTGTGCTGTGTCGTAGTGATGGCATCTCCGGTTGAGGTTGCCATCTGTTCCGTCTCAGTATGTGCTTAAAGGGAGGCGCCACACTGTGGATCAGTGCCTAACAAACAACAGAAGAGTAAATTCACCTGAGGAGATCGACCTCACCTTCATTTGACTGGGAAATAGCCTGAGGCATCATTAACCAGGAACTCAGCTTGCATTGCCTTCTGTCTGCTGCATGCTGCCTGCCTTTTAACCAAACGCTGCTCAAAATAACACCCAAGGGGGAAATTACAAAGGCAGGCTGGATGAGATGTGTGCATTATTTTTGTAATCATTTTGAACCATTTATAATTCAGAGCAAGGTCTGTGTATAGCTTGGCAGAGTTGAAGCTACATGGCACTGAGTCAGAAAGACATGACATGATGACATCACTCATGCAAAAGTAAAAATAGAAAATGGTTGGTTAAATAATGAGGTCACACTAACTACTACTCACCTTAACCCGTTACAGACCGACTTATTAATTTAATGTAGGCTGCTATATGAACAAAAAGTTCACATATCAGCATTTATTAAAAAACAATATGCACTTGTGGAAAAACACATGTTCTTAACTTGATATAAAGTGGCATCAATTGTATAATAATTATTTCAAAATAAAGGTCCTGCATCAAAAAATGTTGGTATACAGTATCAAAATATTTCACTATAATATATTTTTAACACAATCTTATATGTGTTACAGATGATACCTTTTGAGTGTTTTATCAGAAGAATGTGTTTATATTTTACATGATGGTGGGTTGTTTTCAAAATTAACTTAAGGAAAGTTATTGGCTTTATCAACTTAAGAAACATTTTTAAAAAAATATATAAAAACATGAACAACTATTATGTAGAAACTATGGCAGCTTACCTTGACAGGTCTTCCTTCTCAGTAGATACTTTGTCTGATCATAGTAGGTCAGGTGTTTCTGAATGAGTCTTTCTTAATTTGAATACTTATCTGTGTTTTTGTTTTTTTATCTTGACATTTTACAATTTGGCACCCACACCAGCAGGTGACTGATAGGACAGAGAATGGAGTAACCGTTTCAAGGGAGGAAAAAGATAATTATTGATCATTAATCTATTATTCTACATAGTGTTAAATTACTACCACCCAGTGGTAGTTGTCAGCAGCACAGGTAGCATGTCCGAATGTTAATGAGATAGGCTAAACAATTACATTTTAAAATAATATTTATGTTTTAGTTCAAATCCAAATAGCCCCATTTTTTTTATCTGTGACATTTCGACCGATGAGCTCACAAGCATACGCTGAAACGAAACAAAAATACATTTCCCATGGTGCAATGGGGTTTCCCGAGGTTCGGTGTACCAGTCACGTGACGGAAAACTATGGCTTCCCACTCGTAGTGATGGAGGCGCTTCATTGACAACAAAACAAAGTGTCGCTTTGTTCAATTGTATTTCTACTATAACGAGTGGGATTTAAGATGCAGAAGATTAAGTCTCTCATGGCCCGGCAGGTGAGAAAAGCAGGTCCACAGGAAATTAGCTGTTGACAGCTTTTTCTCCGACAGCTGCAGTTAGCTAGCATAAGAGCTATCAAAGCTAACTGGCTAATTTGACAGCTCACCGTGTAGCTGAGGAAAGGGCACATTCAGACCGAGAAACAGCAGCTATATAAACGACTGCAATTTAAATACGAACTATTTATCTCGTAAGAAATATTTAAGATTTGTTTTGGCATCTATACGCACAGTTTTGTAGTTGCTCTACCATTAGACAAACACATAACAGTGGAAACTGGGCGGTGAAGGAAGTTCTCAGTTTGCACATCAGTAATGTTAGACTCAGTGGTTCACTGATGGACACAACAGATCATATCTATTACAGAAATCTGCCCAACAGTTCCCCTTCTTACTGTATGTATGCAGAGACACCAGAGTCAAGTAGCAAGCTTTCTGACAACGTGGGAACAGGTTACATTTGAAGAATAAAAATACATTTTGTGAGTTTTTTTTAAGTCTAACACAGAGTCGTTTTTTTTTTCACAGGGTCTGAAAAGCCCCCAAGAGAGCATGGCAGACCTTAGCCCTGTGGAGAACCTGAGGATCCCAAGCAAGGTAAACTCAGAAAGCTCAAACTTAAACTGTCAGGTTTGTGGTTGTGATTGATGTACTTTCTATACAACCATGTTTTGTGCTTAAGTATTATTTAGTCATATATTGAACGGTTTACATTGTGTCACAAGATCAAAGTATATATGCTAAATTAAAAGGAAATGAAAATATGCAAATCTATAAATGTGCTTTTGAATTGTCTCAATGTCTTTTCATGCATATTTGGTATGAGCTAATCACAGGACTATGCATTATATCTAGTATAAAAGCTGTGACATAACAAGGTTGATTGTGTCACAATCATTTGAGATCTTAATTAGAATGATTGCATGGTTTTTAAAGATGTATTTCTTTTGGCTTTTTATTCTTAATTAAGAAACAAGAAAGTTTAAATGCAACAAAGAAGCAACAGGTTGTACCCGAACCCTGGCTGCCCACCTTTGAGAACTGTAGCCTCTGTACATGGGGCGCACGAACAAACCACTAGGCCATGGCGCCCCATTATTGCATGGTTTTTAAAGCTTTATTTCATTTTGAACTTCTTCCAAAATGTACATGATTACACACCTACAAGGGTTTCCACACTTAGACTGAAGTGTAAAGAGACAGACGGCTACCATTAATATCACTTCAAGCACCGCTTCACATTAATCTTAACTCCAGCAGTGTGAAACATGGGCTGCTGTAACAGTTTCTTAGTATTTGAGCACGGCAGGGTTTGAAATGCAATCAGTCATGGTTGGTCACAGGAAGCATTTGTCGTTACCCACTTGTATTCATTTGATTTGTCAAGATATAGCAGAGTGACGCAGCAGATAGGCTCTATAAATGTAAAGTCACTTACTGACTTACACCTCAATACACTGGAAGTTGGTGGCCTTGCTTTGACTTTGCCATGTCGAGGAGACCTTCTATTAATGCAGCTGCAGGCAGAGCTCAATTTGGAAGGCACCCAACTCCATTTATTCAAACTGCAGGGTGATATTAGCAGGGTTGATTCAACAAGGCATTTAGTTTTCCACCAAAAGACTTCTAGGGGTGAATGTGGCTCAGTTGGTCGAGTCAGTTGTCATTCAACCGGAAGGTTGGGGGTTCGACAGCCAGCACCTGCAGGCTCATGTCCGATGTATTCTTTGGCATGAAACTTAACCCCAAGTTTCTCCAGCTGCTTCGTTTTTTTAATGGTTAATGTTGTTTGATTGTCACCCAAGTTTGACCTTATTGTTGTGTACCCTTTGTGTACTGCCCAGCTTACAAGTCACTGCAACAGACAAGACTAAAAGGAAGTTGTTTTATCAGTTCATCTAAGATTGTTGTGAAACATGAAACATATCTTTCAGAGTGTTTGCACTTGTGAAATGGGAAAAGAAAAAGACAGTGAGGGTGACAAAAAGACAAAACTTCAGCTTATGACAACAAAAGCTGTCTCCTTTAGAAGACAAACACCAAGAAAATACTTATTTTTGGAAGTTGGACAAGTTGGCTTTGTTATTGTCACAATGAAGTTAATAAGGTTTCATTATGATGGATTCAAAACATTTTTAACAATGCAAAGTTTTAAATCATTGTATCATGTTGGTTCTATGCCTTTAAGATATGTTGCTGGACCTGTTGTTGCAGAAGACATCCCACAGATCAAGCTCAGATAAGATAAGCAGCTTTCAATGCTCCAGGTGTAATCAGAGAAAGATGAGGAGGGTGAATAGAAAACCGTCTATTTTATTCTTAGCATGCTGGCTTTAAACTGGTATCACATTTTTACGTTTGATTTACGTTTGAAATCCTTATTTATTCTAAATCTTTTGCTCATGGAATATGAAACAGCCAAGTAGGTTGACAGACAAAATGGGAGAGCTAGTCTGGATGTGAGTTGTTTGGATTGAGAGCACTGTGTCCTACTGCTCTACATTACAGCTGAATGATGTCCCCGGCGTGCACCGCAAACACCTTCCTGTTATGTGTTCAACCACAACACTGGGATGATTATTTGATGACGATAATATGCATTGACTTTATTTACTTAGCTATCCGGTCTTTTAGATTTCCAGTCAATGACATATAACCCATGCGAGCCAAGCTCTATTTTCACAAAATCCTCAGTCCTCTTTGATTAACAGTAGTGTAATCCTCTTAATAAGCCACTGAAGGGAGCAGTGCACTTCTCAACATGCTGCCCTGTGGAGACCAAGTGGCTTGACTGTGTGTGTGTGTTATTATGATTCTAAATCTGATACAATTGGAATGGTTCGTGTGTTTCCAACCATTTTAGCTGTAACTCACATCATTAATCATCCTGCAGGAGTTGACAGCAACAGCTGGCTCACTGTAGGAGGACGGATGAGGGGGATGATTGACAAACGATGCTCTCAGTCACTATTTGGAGTTGACTTTAAAGTTTGATGGAGCCAAAGCAGGGAAACAGATGCTTGTAGGTCTACTATTCAGGGTTTGGCTTACATTGGGGACAATTTTAGGGTTCATCTTCCTGCCTAGAACACGTCCAAATGTGGACAGAAGGACTGTAACAAACAATAATTTAGACCTAAGACAAAAAAGCAAGAATTCTGATAAATGAGCAATCATTTTTGTTAATTGTGAAGGACAAATTCCAATGATTTGCTTCCTTTAAGCTTTTCAGATGTTTGAATATGTTTTCAACACATTTTAAAGACATGCCAGCTTCATCAAAAAATACACCACATAAAGCATTACTTGAAATAATCGTAGGTTGCAACCCTGTTCTCAAGCTGGCCTATTTACTGTATTCAAATTTAGTCCATAACACAGTCTAGATTTGCTATGTGCTGAATAAAACGCACAGACTCCATTTAAGACTAACTGTAAAGCTAATTACAAGCAACATGACCTTACATTGTTGTTCACAACCATTCTCTTTTGGTGGTTAAAATTCTCCAGACTTTCTAAACCTGAATTGTAGTTAACAAAAATAGTTGGCTTCTTTACAAGACTCACTTTATAAATGAACTTGTCTTTTTTTCTTTCTCAGCCCCTGTGACTACAACTGCATTTGTTGCTATTTTAAAATTATTGATTAATCTGCTAGTTGTATTTTCTATTCATTATCTTGCCCGTAAAAAGTCAGAATCTCAAGCCCATGTTTCTTTACAATACATACAAGAAAAACATTTAGTAATCTGTTGCAGTTAATGGGTTGAGGATTTGTTATTTTTAAAAAGGTTTTGAAGGTGTGGAGACAAACCTCCAACCCCCTTCCTCTCAAACGCTTACTTGACATTCAAATTAGCAGTGAGTGGGATATGTTATTCTTCTTTTCTTTAGTTCTTTACTAAAACAGCTTCTATATGCAAGGGGAGGAGTCGGCTGTCCCGTCCATGTTAACACATCTCAGACAACAACACAGCCAGCGGGACCCAAGCTTCTCACTCATTGTACACAGTCATGACTCAGAGAGACATTTACATATACTTGATTTCTGCTAATATGTACGGATGTGTTAAATGTTGCACATTCTTCCTTTAAGGCCATCCTCTGCTTGTACTAAGAATATTATATCCATCTACCTGTTTGGAATGTATGGGGTGGCGTAGAAAGTATTGACTGGTGTTGAATGGAACACTTGACTTGGTTGGCGTCTCAGGTGTCAGACTGTTGACTTGTAGCAGTTAATGGTCAGAGGAATCCTTTCTGTCAGAAAATCTGATCTCCCTTGTTAACCAGCTGCTGTGTACATAATGCCCTATACAAATGTAAATGCTACTCTTCACAATGAACCAAAGACCAAAAACTGAAAAAGTTTAAATTATTCATGACTTTAGTGTGATATGATCTTTAATATACCGAAAACAAAACAGATCTACAGCAGACAGTCTTTGGGGAATGATAAAAGTAACAAAACACATTATTTCATGTGTAAACAAAAACTAATTTGCACAAAGTCACAACCTAGGGCAGATTAGAAAAAAAAACTATTTTTGTTTGACTCCAAAGGGCTCAAACCTATTTTAGATCACTTTGATGTTTTTGTTCTTTTTGTTAATCTCTCCAGGTCCCTGATACAGAATAAGCTGCTTTGTGGCCACACACTAAAAACAAACAAACAATTCCTTTTTGTTCAAAGCTGTCCTCCCTCTGCGGCGAAAACTAGTTTAAAGGATTTTCTTTGTAGGTGTAATATCTCCTTACCTGGTCAAACATACTGAGCCTTTGTTGGCTCCCATTATATGGGTTTAATATTTTGCAGTAGTTCACAGGTTTGAACGTTTTTTTAACGGTATTGTCGAGCATTTTGATTAATGGTGAAATTAATTACATCACTCGTTTGACATTTTATTATCCAAACAATTAATCATTTCATTAAAAAATGTAGAAAATAATGATGACCAATCAGTTTCAGTTGTTTTTACTCTTTAATACACAGGTTTCTCATGCTGATCACTCATTGTTGTCAGAGTGGCTGTGGATCAGTGGTATAGTCGTTTGTTTCTCAACTGGAAGTTTGGGGGTTCAATAGCCATCTGCTGCAGCCACATGTCAGATGTGTCCTTGAGCTTAACCCCAAATTGCTCCCGCTCCTTCGTTGATGGCGTATGAATGTGTGTGAATGGGATTAGTTACTTTTTTATTAGCAGCCTCTTCAATTAGCGTATGAATGGGTAAGTGTGACCTGCGGTGTGTAAAAGTGCTTTGAGTAGTCAGAAGACTGGAAAAGTGCTATGCAAGCTCAAGTCCATTTACCATTCTTCTTCTGCAGCAGTCTTGATCAGCCATTTAGCTGCAGGAGGGACTTGCAAACAAAGAACAAAGAAATACAGAAGAGAGGGTTGATAGACAATTTTGTTGTTGAATCAGAGTAGGTCTGAACAAAAAATAATTCATGCAGAAGATTTTTCAGTCCATCTTAGACTTCCTTCAGTGTAAAGTCTGGTATGCGTGGTGATTCTCTGTAAATGTGGGTGACTTCACAGGTGCATCTAATCACTGATTAAATGCTTGATTGATTGAGCACCTGTGAAACCATAAAG